TGGTTGCTGGGAATTGAACGCAGTACCTTTGGAAGAACAGTGAGTGTTCTTAACCTCTGAGCTATCTCTCCAGCCCCCTCAAAGCTGTTTTTAATGATGTTGCTCAGAATGTTTTCTTTCCAGGTGATAACTGAGAAGCTAATTAAAAAAAAATGGTGCCACAAAGGTAACAGAACTGTGCTGTTTTCTGGGATTTTTTTTTTTTTTTTTTACTTTTTTTTTTTTTTTTTAATGGCGTGTGCTGGATGTCTACAATTTTGCTCAAATGACTGCAGAACCTGAAAACGCTGTTGTTGCTGTTGGTGTGTAACATATTGGTATTATTGGTCTTTTTATATAAATATATATACATATATATGTAATTTGAACTTTTTGGAAACTTTAGCTGTGCTGTCAGCTTTGGAAAAAAGTATCCCAGTTTGCCATGTTGAGTTGGCATTGCACAGAAATTAATAGCCATATCGGTCTAGAAACGTTGAACTTAATTTTTTTTTTTCCATTTGTACGGGGGTAACACGCTGTATTAAATATGTAAGGTCTTATTTGCCTGGGTTTGATTACAGAAACTAATAAAGTATTCTCTAAAGAATGAAAACAAATCTTTAAGGTTGGCTGGATGGTGCTGCACGCCTGTAATCCCAGCAATGGGAGGCAGAGGCAGGAAGGCCTGTGAGTTCAAGGCAGCCTGGTCTACAGGGCAAGTTCTGGGACAGCCAGAGCTACACAAAGAAACATTGCTTCAAAAAAAATCTTCAAGGTTACTTTACATTTGTTTTGTTTTGAGTTTAACTTTGACAACATATACAGGAAGACTATATAATGGAGATATAAATTGGTCTCTCATTTCAAGTTTGTCTCTGTAAAACAATTATATTCTTAGCATGACTACAGACATAGTTCTGAGCACATTAAAGAATTTGATCATTTATAAGGTGACTGATCATTATCCTTTATGTTTTAATTAAGATTACAATTTTATCCCTGTTAAGATTTTGAGACTTAGCTGGCCGTGATGGCGTACTCCTTTCATCCCAGCATTTGGGAGGCAGAAGCAAGTGGATTTCTGAGTTTGAGCCCAGCCTGGTCTGCAAAGCAGGTTTAAGAGAGCCAAAGCTACACAGAGAAACCCTGTCTGGAAAAAAAAAAATTACAGTTTTAGTATCAAAATAAACTTTAAACCAGATACAGTCAGTGTTGAGACTGGGGACTCATTTTCCTGATCCTTTTATAGTGTATGCATAAGTATGTATGTATATATACACATTTATTTATTTATTTATTTATTTATTTATTTATTTATTTATTTATTTATTTATTTAT